CGCACAGCGCGGCCAGGCGCCCCCCCAGGCCGACCCCGGCGGGCGGCGCGGCGGGCTCGGCGAGGGGCCCCCCGCAGGTGCCGAACTCGGGGGAAGAGGACGCGTGCTTGGGGCCCAGCTCCCCGTCGTCCTGCAGCTCGCTCGGCGGCGGTGGCTTGGCGCTCGCATCCCGGTGCCTGCTCCGCGCCGGCGGGACCATCTCGGCATCGTCGCGCCCGCTGGCTGCGCGCGCCCAGACCGCGGCTAAGGGGCCGGAGGGGAGCAGCTCTGGAGGGCGGGCTGGAGGCGGAGCCATGGCGCGCTCGCGCATCTGTTGTCATGGCGACGGCGAACGCCGGGGGCGGGGGTGGGGACTCCCCGTAAGTCGCACGGCCCCGCCTCCTCCGCGCCAGACGCGGCCCCCGGCGACCGAGTGCGCACGCGCGGACGCTGGCTTCCCCTCCCTCTCCCGGCCAGGCCAGCGGGTCGCGCACCTGGGGGAAGATAACTAGGACCAGAGGGCGGGGCCGGGCGGAGCGCGCACCTAGCTGGCAGGTAGAGGTGGTCTGCAGTGGGGCCGAGAGGGATAGGGGCTTCTAGGGGACCAGGACTTCAGGCAGCATCCCTCCTTCTTCTCGCAGGGAACTGCTTCCAAAACCTTGGGCACACTTTCTGTTCATCTCGGATTTCGGCCGACCTTGGGCTTGTTTGAGATTGTCAGGGTGCTAAATTGCCCAGATTGGGCTGAGCCGATTTGGAATTCTGCCTCGGCCTCTCAGGTTGAGGATTCCTCTATTGATACTAGTATTCATTCGCTGTTAGGCTTTTTTATCCGACAACGAGTTCTTTGTAAAAGGAGAGTTTTTACCACTGCAGTTAAACACCCTACTTTGTATATTTTGGGAGTGTGGATGCTTAAATATCTGTTGGAGCAGGGCACAAATATTTTTAGATGCTGGTCTTTTGAAGATGATTGAAAATGAGATGCAAAAAGCCTCAATTCTGAAACAGTGTGTCCTGTGGATCCCCTGCTACCTCTGAGACTAATGGTGGATGTATTACCCTCAGAGTAAAGAAAATCTGGTTCGATATCTATTACAAATAATAAAAATACTTTCATGATAGAGCTCTGAAATGATTAGAAAGTCGCATGGACAAAGAGGCTTAGCATTTGGACTGCAGTACTAGATTGCTTGTCTCCTACATGTGGATTCAGGAAATACTTCTTTTAGCTAGCACAACTTCTCCAGAGAAGATGCTTGTTGAAAGAACAAACAAGTGAATCAATGCAGGAAATAACATAAAATAATGGTTCATAATAATCATGGCCTTCAGAACCTTTGGAAGTCACCTAGCACTAACCCTCTTTTCCCATGGCCCTGAAATTCCGCAGGATGTGAGGTCTTCCATCAGTTACCCTCACAGCCTGGCTAGGAGAGCTGTTGAGCTGAGTGGAAGGCGGGTCCTGTGGACCGGCTGGGCCTTTTAGGCCTAGCTGCATCCTTCTCTTCACTACTCCAGTAGCACTGTGCCAGTCACCAAGGTCCTGTCACTTTTTCAATCTCATTTTCTTCATCCCAAAAGAAGGCAGGTTGGCAATAAAAATATCTACCTGAGCGGTGGTCCAAGTGAAGTGAGACAGTGTGGGCAGTATCTGACAGTGACATCCGTCAGCATTACTTCTCTGTGGATGTCCCCAGTAGCTATTCGAATCTAAGCAACTGCTGAACGTGTGTGTTCAAAGCAGTGGGGAGATGGAGGGCAGTGGTGAGCACTCGGCTCTCCCCAGCACAGGCTGAAGGTCCAGGACAGGCTGCAAGCTAGGGCGCAGCAGAGGAACAGGTGGGAGACCAAGGACAGCTATGCAGGCCAGGCCAGTTCCTGCTCTCTGGGCAGTCTCCTGCTTCCACAGGAGCTGAGGAAAAGAAGGCCAATTCGAATCATGGAGCCTGTGTAAAATAATAGGCAGCTCCTGTGCAAGCCCCACACCCCAAAGTTACATGTTCCCCAGAGGGAGGGAGGGAGGGAGGGAGGGAGGGAGGGAGGGGAGAAAGCTGGAGGCCGCCAGGCCGACACACACCAAGCTGCCTTCTGCCTCTGTCACACCCAGAGACCAGGGCAATGAGTTCATTCAGATCTGAGTTCTTAGGGGCCGGCCTGATAGCTCAGCGGACTAAAGCGCCTGCTTGGGCAGAGTGCACTGGCCAGCTGCTGTGCCAGCCCCACTCCTGGTGTGCGCTGAGACAGCAATTGAGACTGGGCATGGTGGCACACACCTGTAATCCCAACCCTTGGGGGCTGAAAACAGGAGAATCACTACAAATCTAATCTACGTAGTGAGACCCTGTCCTAAATACAGAAAATAATAATTATAATAATAATAAGATCTGGGATCTTAGACCAGTGTCTGCCACACAGTAGTGGGTGTTTAGAAACAAAAGTAAGAAACTTGCCCAGACTGGAAGCTGTATTTTAAAAACCGTTGGCCCCCACAAGTCAATCTGAGGTTACTATGATTTATAGGAAGTATTTGAAATTACTTATCATCTTCTGTATGGTTTTTCTTCTGAAATTTGCAAGCACACCGGAAAGATGATTTCCTAATGGGACACTGCAGAATACTGGGCTGAGACCTATGGATTTCAAGGACAGGAACTGGAAAGAGCAACTCTTCATGAAGAACCCTGGGTCTGATCTCTGCGACATAAACTCAGTCCTCCTCTCAGGCTGTAAAATAAAAGTATTTTGTTAGCTTGGTATGGCAGTGTGGTCTCTGACCCCAATCCTCTGGGAGGCTGAGGCAGATCACAAGTGTGGTTGTTTTCATGACATAACAAGACAGTCTCATAATAAAATAATATTAATAATTTGGAAAGGGTTGCTGAGCTGTAGCTCAGTGTGAAGGCTCTGGGTTCAAGCCTTAGTACCACCACAAAAAACGATGTTGTTATTCAACTTTGGGGATGGAGACAAAGAAGATTATAAAGAAGGAATAGAATGAAAAGCATAAAATCATAGAGGAAGACTGTGGAAAAGTAAGGCTTAGCCACAGTAAAGTATAGGAGTGCTGGTGACCGTAAATGAGGATTGCAGAAAAGCCACCGTGCCCAGGGAAGAACGTCCTGGGAGCCACTTCCCTTTGTCTCTCTACATTGGTGTTGAAGAGACACATCTGGAGCATCTAAATGCTCCCCTTGTCCTCCCACCTGTCCCTTTGTGGCAGACACAAGAAATGCAGCATTTCTTCTTTGGGTGGAGGTCAGTCTCTTGATCTCTATTTTAGAGGCATGCCTTGGGGTTAAATTCTTGATTTGACAGTCGTCTGGCTCAGTGGCTGCTCCTACCAAGAGCAGTATAAAAACCCAGCACAGAAACTCCAACTGGGTGCAACAAAGTCTATTAGGGTAACAGGACTTTCAGCCAAACTCCAACATTAACTTGTCACTGTGTTCGTTTCTATGTACTTCTTTAGTCTTGGGAGTACAAATGTAAATTGCTACTTTACAGCTCTTCAGATTTTACCTCCTGTCTTTCTCATAGCTGACCTTGTAATTTAATCTGTACATGCTCCAATGTATGTTCCTGAGAAAGCCAGACAGTTCACTGTTTGAACAAGTTAGAGGGAATGGAAAAAACAGCAACAAGGGGGATGTCTGCTGTAGGGCATCATTTCTTGTTATAGAGGCCTCGCAGTGCCTCAGTCAATGTTAGAGATAGGTTTCCTATGTCATCTGTGCCGTGGCAGAGACATTAGAGATATGCTGAGTCCTTGTTTCCAAAGACCTTACAGCTTAGTTGAGGGGACAAGAGTAAAAGATAGATAGATAGATAGATAGATAGATAGATAGATAGATAGATAGATAGATAGATAGCTTTTTCTCTTGTTACTGGACACACATTCTTTGCTGGATCATTTCTTTATTTTCTTTTGCTGAACACTTGCCTTAGATCCATATACCCCACAACCCAAACAATGCTGATTTTCTAGTGTCTTCTTGGTGCCTCCAACTCTACAATCCAAATGTGCTTCTTCTCCAGCTCCTTATTTCATTGATGGCACCAAGATTCCGCTTTCCTTAGACAGAAGTCAATCTTCCTTCTTTTATTCCCAATACAAACCTAAAGGCACAGTCCTGGTCATACTATCTCATGCCCTATTTCCCCAAATGTAATTTTTTTCTACATAAAGCACAATAGCGTTTATTTTTTTAAAGGATGTCTTATGTTTTCAATGTATAAGGACCTATATTTTTTCAGGACAACGGGGGTGATAAAGGGGCCCCTTGGAAGCCCACTATGGCTATGCAGATGTAGAGAAATAAAGACACTGGAATGTTCAACTTCAGCTCTGTGAAATAAATACAAATATTTAAAAGGTTACTTTGTCTTTCTGCCTTATTCAGCTCATAACTGCTGAATGTTTTTTCTTCAGTAACTGCTGTTGACAAATACATGCATTCTAGAAGCCATCAGGAGATAAAATGGTTCAGGAAGAAAGAATATTGTGGGACAAGAGGATAACTGAGGACATTAGCAAAGGCAGCCCAGCAATGGAGAGATGCAGGGAGAGCGGCAATGGACACAGCTGGATAGGAGCAGCTCACAGGAAACAGGGTGCTGCCCTGGGTAGGCCCTCCTATACCTGAGTGGTGCCTCAGAGCCCCAAGCCTGCCCAAGGCGAGGGACTCTATTTCCACTGCTTTATTTCATGGGCCCCCAGGAAAAGATACATCTGCTGGAAAAAAATAAAGTCAAAATCCTAAAGACACCCCTTTCAAATGCAGATTCTGGGCCCCTAGTGTTCGTGTACCTGTGGGGAGGGTCTGTGTTTCTTACTCAGTGACTGTTGTGATGAGGGGTCCAGATCAGTCTCCCACAGCCCTCATTCAGAGGGGATTTAAGTCTCATGCCCTCCCAGGGAATCAGGTCCAGCAGTGGGGGTCATGGTCCCCAGGAAATCAGAAATAAGGCTGGCTTTCTTTTTTTATCATATCTATCTCCTCTCCTCTCCTCTCCTCTCCTCTCCTCTCCTCTCCTCTCCTCTCCTTTCCTTTCCTATTTTCCTATCTCTCTAACTCTCTTTCTTTCTCTTTCCTTCTAGTTTACCTCTTTTTGAAGACAAATATTTTATCAAACTCCACAGTCATTAACATTCAGTCACCTGCACGCTGACGAGGGACACATTCAGGGAAAGCAAGGACATTTTCTTTGTGGAAATCTTGGAGAAAACAATAAAGACACATTTTTACAAAGATTATCCTTCATCCCTTTTTGGAGTTGTATTTTGGAGGAATCACTACTGAATGTCCATAATAA